TATTGGTGTATCTACATTTTTGCACTAGATAATATATTTAATTACTGAATTATTGTATTCATAAGTGAGTGAAGGGTTGTAAGATCTAGAAAACATTCTTATTTTTTTATATAATTTGAATTTGTTATAATAAATAGAAATGTTATATATTTCTAACAGATCTGATTTATTAGAAAATTTAACATAAGTGATCAAATTATAAAAGTAACAAATTTTTCCTTCATATAGTCATAATATATCAAAGGCTTGAATAGCAACATATTTAATTCTATTTTTTAAGTTATCTAATATAATATTCATAAATTAATTTTAATATATTGTAAAGAAATATTGATAGTCCAAAAATCATCAAGTATAGATTTCTTTTCATCATATAGATATTTAAAAATAATAAGATATCACATGAGTTATCAACTGTATATTGAAATATTATATTGACTAATTAATTAAAACTATATCAGCTAATTATAAAAATTTATATAATATAGATTTTTATTATTACATAACAATCAAATTTAAAAATTATAGTAATCACACAAAATTATATGATACATTTAGAACAATTTATACTGTATTCTTCTGAAAAATAAGCAATACTTTTTTGTTATAATATTACTTATTTTTGAGTAGTTTAATAAAATAAAAGAAATTCAATCATGTTTCTATCAACTCATATGATTTTTGATAATTGAATTTCATTTATTAACCTGTTTTATTCTATATAATAATAAAACAGAAGAGAGTTATTAAATTGTAAAACAAACACAAAATTCATACTTAATTAAATATAAAAAAGAATGAATACTAATAATTTGTAATGTCATAATATTTTTTTTTTTAATTATAATAATAAAAAATATATATATATATTCATAAAGCTAAATTATTTTATTTATAAAAAAAAATTTTCAATTTTTTTTGAAGTGTTGCTTATTTTTGGAATTTATATAAAATAGGTATTGCTTATTTTTAGGGGTTGCATATTTTTAGAAGAATACAGTATATAATTTTTATATAATACATATAAATATAATTATTTTCTGTCAAATAATTTTTCAAATAATATGTTTGTTTTTTGTTTAAGATTATTATTTTTATTAATATTTTGTTCATTAAACTTTTAGTTATAAAGAGAAGTTATTTTATTTAAAGTTTGTCAATGTTTTATTACTCTAAAATTTGTTAAATTTAAAGATAAATATTTAATTTTAACAAGAAAATAGTAGACAATTGAAGTTTTGATTGTTAAAGTTTGCTTATTATATTTTAGTGTATTTTGAGATCTTATTTATTGAAAAGACTTTCTACTTGTTATTAATAAATAATAATATACCAAATATAATATTTGATAAATTCAAGTATCTTTAAAAAATCACAAAAGGTCTTATTTGTTTTATTAATAAACTATAAGAATACTACTTTGAAATTAAGATCTTTAAGTGCTTTTGACAAGCTGAAATCATTAATTCTTCCAGTAATAATATCTTCTTCAATGAATTTAAATTAACATAATTCTTAAAGTAAGAATAAAAATAACCAAAGTATATTTAAAATAAAGCTGTAAGCAAATTCACATTCATATTTTTTCCTAGTCTAAATGTACTTAATAGTAAATATAACTAACAATTTAACTATTTTTGAAAATTTTTAATGCTTTTTGTGTACCTAATTCAATTTTTGCTATAAGATCATTAAATTGATCATTATTTAAGAAATTTATACCTTTTAAAGCTTATTTTTGAAAAAAAAATAAAGATTTTCAATAATATTTTTTAGTTACATTATTATCTAAATCACAAATCTGATATCTATTGAGAATATTGATCAAAAAAAGTTATAATATCTGATAAATTAAAATTAAATCTTGAATATTTAGATCATATCCAATGACAAAATTTACAAATAGTCAATAAAAATCTTGAAAAAATAGGTCATAAAGTCAAATTTCAAATAATTCTCATTTTTTAATATAAGTTTTAGTAGTTCACATTAGAGTTTTTTTATTACTTTTAATATAGCTATTATAGAGCTTTCAAGTTAAATATAAAAGATTTGCAAAAAGTTTCTTTTATGAAAATTCACTTATATTAGGTAATTTTCTAAAACATAATTTCTTAAAATTATTTATAATAATATATAATATATGAAAACTGCAAGAGAACTAGCTCCAGTTAATTTATTAAATGATGCAATTACTCCTTCAATTTTATCATTCATATAATTTGTACTATCAGATACAAAAGTTTAACATTGGTAATAATTTATTTCAAAATATTCAAAAGTGTTATATATTACTTATACAATAGATTTTCCAATACAATTATCTAAATACTTCATTTCAATTAGCTAAAAATCAAAAGCATTTTCTAAAATATTAAACAAATAATGAAATTTTTTGTTAATCTCAAATTTTCTCTAGTTAGAAATCTTAAAATTATTTGTATAGCTTGAATAATACTTCAAAATGACATTTAACCAACTTGAGAAATCTGTTAATAAACTTAGCTGTATATTGAGATTTATTTTTCATAATAATTTGATTACTTCTTTGAAAGTTTATAAATCAACTAATAATAGCTTATAAGCTATAGCATAAATTTTTAATATGTATTGATGATATTTTCGCTTATATTATGATAATATACCTATTAGTTGTTTAACTTTGTGATTTTTTTTAATATTAAAATATTCTAATTTGATTATTTGCTTTAAAGTATTTTATTATTTTGAATTAATAAACTTGAACTTTGATCTGTTTTATAAAGGATCAAATTTACAAAATTCAAAGCTTTGTTTTGTAAAAATGGTAAAAATAAATTATCCTAATATGATTTTTTAGAATATCACATATTATTAATCAAATAACTTGTAGATTTTAATTGATCATCCAGTAATTTTTTAATTATTTCAATTAATTTTTGATGATATGTAAGTTTGAATACCTTTCTATCATTAGTTAGTTTAAGGATATTTTGACAGATTAATAGCAATTTGTTATCATTCATCTGTATAAGTTCTTTGTTAATTTCAAGAATTAATATTTTTTTCTGTTAGATGAATCTTCTCATATTTACAGAAATTTGGCTTACTTTGTGTGATTGAATTTTTCTTTTGGAACTTTTAGCATTCTGTCTATTATAATATTATATACTAATTAGTAATCTTTAAAATGATTTACTACATTATTGAAATGTTGATTTACCTTTAAATTTTCACAGTAAGTTTATATATAGTTTAAAAATAAAGTTATATTTAAATATTTTATTTTATAAAAAAAATTTTAAGATTTAATTTCAAAAATCTAAAATTTTGTAAATATAACATTTTTAAGAAAGAATATTTAACTTGATTTTAAAAAATTAATGTAGTTACTTTGTAACAATTTTTACAAATATTTTTTAACAAAAAAAAGAAGTTTGAATTTATTTTAATTGTAAATGATTATAAAAAAAATTTGAGTTTATTTTAAGCTTTATATAACAAAATTTTTGATTATAGTAGTATCTGATATAGTTTTGATTAATTAATCAGTATAATACCTTAACTACATATTTATATTCATTTTCAATAGATTCAATTAGGCTAAATGTTGACATGCAGTTTGTAATTAACAATTATATTATTATTACTATTTCTAAATTACTAGTTAATACTCAAGAAACTAAAGAAGAGTTTTATGATATCATCAATATAATTAAATTTATCAATTCTTGATTAATCAAAAATGAGAATTAATATGATAGTGATGAAAGCATATATAGAAAATAAAGTTTTAGGGTAATGAAAAGTCTTATTATTTAACTAATATTTGAGATCATCAGCTTTCAATATAAGTTTATTGTTATTCAAGTATATTTTGACAGTGTATATTAAGTTTTTAAGTGATTAGGCAGTATTAGTAAAGTCTTATAATATATCATTTATATCTTATGAAATATTATTATTGAAGTTTATTTGAGAATCATATGTTTAGTTATTAAACATATTATTATTATTCTTTTTAACATGTGAATTATCAGTCACGTCAATAACTTTTAATATGTTATTAATTAACGTGTTGTTATTTTTGATTTGTTGTTTTTGTTTACATTTTATTACTTAATAATAATGAAGAGAAAGAGAAAAAAGAAGACTCTAAAGTTAAATAAACATTATGTTATTTATCATTATGAGCGAGGACAAGATCTTAATTGATATCTTCCTATATTTCATATCTTCATCAAGGAGGAAAATACATCCATTCAATATAATTGTATTATTTTTGTTAATATCTTAAATTGAAGAAAAGATAGACAAAGAATCATTAATATTCATTTTTTCTTGTAATATTTCATTGTATTAAGAAAAATGTCTTGAATAATTTCTTGCATAAATTTTATACTATAATCTTCTATTCTTATTTCATTGTTAATAAAAGAACAAGTGCAAGTTATTTGAACTAAAACTTCTTTAGGAATTTCAGCTGAAAAAGGGTATTGTTTATCATATTCAAAGTAATAGCAGAATGTTTATATCCTAAGAAATCAGCAATAGCTTTATCTTTACTTTCAATAAAAGGTTTAAGTAATTTTAATAGTTTGTTAAAAGTATGATTGTCTTTATTAAAAAGGTATTTGAAGATTTCTAATAAAAGAAAATTTTTGTATTTTATGTATTTTCTAAAGAGTTTTTTTTCTCTACCTATAATTAAAATGTAATATAGTCTTAATTTTAGTCAAAAATTTCCAAAGCCCAATTTTTCTAGCAAATTTCCCATATGTAAATTCCGGCGAAAATGACGTATTACAGGGAGATTTTTTCAAAATTCGTTATCCTACACACCCATGGTCATAGTGTCATTAGAATCTCGATAAGATACAAGCCAAAACCCTGAAATTTGCCAGCATTATACGCTGGTGCGCCACGATGGAATCGAGATTTCCCTTTGACAAAATTTCTCGAGATATACATATAAAATATATATACACTCATTCTCTTTAACGTGTAATTGAATAGAATAAATGAGAGGGGGACGAGATCGGTTTGCTGTCGTTCGACCTGGGAATGCCTTTAGAGACAAACGTAAGTACTCATTTTTTATCTTAATAGAATTGGAGCCTTCATCTTAACCTCTTTTTTTTTTTTTTTTTTTTTTGAATTGAGCTGGTCGTTCCAACTTTTCAAAATTTGGATTGCAACGGGTATCTTCAGATAAAATTACTGGTGAGCAGTATCATTAAATTACTCAAGTAATTTTAAGCTATTCTAACGTTTTATAATACCTCCCTTTTTTTTTGTAAGAAATGGGTTTATTTCTTCATGCATGCGAGGGCGATATGGTATGCAAATCAGTCAATTCCAAAATCCCATATTTTAATGCACCAATTTATTTAGAGAATAAGAATCAAATAGGAAAAGTTGATGAGATCCTTGGACCAATGAATGAAGTATATTTTACAATCAAATTGCAGGAAGGCATAGTTGCAACATCTTTTAAACCAAACGATAAAGTATATATTGGTGAAGATAAGCTGTTGCCATTAGAAAGATTTTTGCCTAAGCCACCTGCTCCGAAAACAGGTAAGATACAAATAATGATTTTTATAATTTAAATAAATCTTAAACATAGAATTTTATAATAGCTACAAAGAAGAAGTTTGTAGGACGTGGCGGCGGCGGCGGCGGCGGCAGTGAGTATTTAAAATTATATTTGTTTATATTGCCATCAATAAAAACTTCCTTTTAACAAATAAAATTAACAATATATTAGTGAATATGAGGGGAGGATATCAAAGAGGAGGACGTGGAGGAGGACGTGGAGGTGAACGTGGAGGTGGTCGTGGTCGTGGAGGGGGTCGTGGAGGTGGTCGTGGCTCACCTAGAGGAGGTCGAGGTGGTGGTGGTAATCGACGAATTTTTCATTCATAAATTAAATAAAATAGTATCGACAAAGATGCTTTTTGTAATATAATCTCCCATTATGTCCTTTCAAATAAAACTTATATTCGTTAGTAGCTTAACAATTGCTCGAACAAATCACAATTTGACAATTCAGTCAAGGGCAAAGAAATGTTACATATAATTTTGTGTTATTTAAAGACTCGGGCCAAATTTTTATAGAAATATATAATGCTTCTATAATTTCATTCGTAGCAAATTAAAAGATATGATTTCACGCGATTTAACTAGATTATGTCATTTTTAAATAAATAATATATTACAAATTTTTTTTTTAAACATTAATTTTTTGATATAATATAAAATGGAGTAGTTGGTTTCATCATTCTTCTATAATACTAGTTTCATTATAAAAACTTGGGAGTTTCGATGCGATAAGATAAATTTTATCATTCCCCCTAACAATTGTATCCCTTCTTGGATTTACAAAAACATATTGATGTGGTCCACCTTTGTGTGTCACAGTACGATAAAGTCCTAATGAAATTGCTTTATGAGCTCGGATTAAATGACAATATAAAGCATTATATGTCTGACCTGTTTCCAAATTTTTTTTTTTTTTTTAAAAAAAAATAAAGCTTAATAAAATAATCAAATAGAAATTTTATATTAACAATAATAATAATAATAACTTACCAATATAAAGTGGTGGAACATTAGTATGAAACATGTGTCCCGAAACGATTCCTAAGTCGCGCCATTCATTGGTTTTTTGTCGTTCGATCTTTGGTGACATCATTTCGTCGTCCGACTCGTGACTGAAAATTAGACATTTCATTATAACAGGGATGTGACGATTGTAGAAGCTATGAAAAAAGAAGATAAATAAACATTTCCTATGTCAAAATTAAATTAATTAAAATCAATTATATTTAGTTGAAATATATTACCATTGACAAAGTATCGTATCCAAGTTACATGGCGTGAAAACATTTCCTGCCATAAACGAAGGTCGCATAAGTGCTTGGACTACAATTTAAAAAATAAATATATATTAATATCTGTAAAATATCATTATTATAATAAAGGTTTACTTAAGTTACTTACTAAATTCTTCCTCCTTGTTCTTAACGGAATCACTTTCACCAATCATTTTAAAGGTTTCGCGATATATACATTCGACAAGAACATAACAATCGTTGGACAAAGATTCGATGTTTAATGCAATCATAATCGACGCAGCATCTGCAGTTCCATATGAACTTCATATATTTAAGAAATAAAATAATCATAAATGATTAATAATCAAAATTTCGACAAAAGATTATTTCAGGTATGGTATAACTTACTTTTCTTCACACCGTGTTGCATCACTCAAAACAACACATTTTTTTGCGTAATTAACTCTAGCTCGAAAAAGATCTTTTCTACGAAGTGGTGATCCTCGAACAAAATAAACTTGGCCGTACTTTTCTAAAATACGTTTATTTGATTCATTTGGTTTACTATTACATAGAATAACCACTGGCGTATTACGACATAATGAATTTTTTTCTCGCAAAACGGAAATAAAAATATCTAAATTTTCCGGGAACTCTTTACTTTGATCGCATATAATAATATGATCTTTGATACTTTTAAAAATGGGTTCTTCAGAATCCATACAAATTGCTGCTACTCTCTCTATATTTTGGCGTAAAATTTCAGCATTTGACTTTGAATTAGACAACGGAATAAGTGGAGTGATTGTAGTTTCATGCTCTTCAGCAACACTCTCAACACCATCGACCTCAACCTTTGTGAAAGAATTTGTACGACGCAGAGATATAGGAACTTTGCGTCTTGGTGACTTTAATGTTGAATATTCATCGTTTTCTATATTCTTATTAGCATCTAGTTTGAACTTCGAGGCATCTACATTGGCTGAACGATTACTATCTATACCTAATATATTATGTGCAGATTTCGCGAGAAATGATACACTTTTATATGGGTCGTACCAATGTCTTGCTCGTTCATTAAACTTTGCCATTTTAGCCGTTATTTCAGCACAATCACTAATTACAAATCCAATTTCATTCCCCTTAATCATATAATCCTGTGGATTCAAGAATATTTGGAATGGGGATGTATTACTTCCAAGTTGAGCGTCTGTGAAGCAACCCTTTGTCAGTTTATATACCCCAATGGAAAATAATACTGCACCGAGTCGCGAATAAATGAGTTCAGAACATTCCAAAAATGTATATCCAACAAAGGCATCAGAAAAGGTGACGGCGTAAATTTCATGCTTTAAACCGTGGATGTATTCTTTTACCCAACCTAAACCTTAAAATAATGACATTTGATAATAAGATTTATTGGATTATCAGAAACAAAATTTAATATAAATAATAACTAATTAATATTAAATTAAAATATACTTGGCTTATTGCTTGCACTAGAGATTAAATTACGAACAGTTTTGTCAGTGATTGATGTTGTAAGTAATACGATGAGTGAGGCAAATCCCGGCGTGGCTAAGCTTTGAGCCATTAATCCCATTGTAATTTCATCGATACAAATTACATCTTTCGCTATTAAGGATTGAAATTAGAATTTATAATATATAACACAAATAGGGAAATATCACAATAATTACCCAAGAAATCAAAGTGTGGAACATTTTCCGGTAAATGAACTTGAGCATATAGGGCTAATTTTCGATTGTATTTTTTAATCGCCTGATTTTTGAATATAATTATCAAATAGATCAAATATGCAAGTTTTTGCCTCCGAGTTAAATTTCACATACCAAGGCTCTCATTATTTGAGAAGCATCCATCTCATCAGTTTCATCAGAAAATTTTTTAGTTAAAAGGAAAGCTGCACTTGCAGTATCAGCACGAATTTTTTCAAGGCTACGACGCCAAGTAGGTGTTCTTAATAAAAAAAAAAAAAAAAAACTTAATATAGTAATTGATCGAATATTGATGCGTTTATAAATTAAAGTTTTTATATACCCTTTAATATATTGAACTCTACTTATAAATGCCGGATCTTCAAGAAATTCGACAATCTCCTCATCTGGCTTTTTTTTTTTTAAAAAAAAAAAAAAGTTACGAGAGTGTCTAATGAATCCAATAATTTACCGTCGAAACAAACCTCATCCGGATGCATGATAACAACATATGTATTCATAGTAGCCAAACCATGATCTAGACAAAAGAATTCTCGTAAAAATTCAAACAAGCTTGTTGCGTCGAAATCACCAGTAACGATAATATGCTCGTTATATTTTTCGCCTTTATACGAATGATCATATTTAGATTTTTCTTGTATCAAAGTAAGAAGCTCGGATAAAGCTGTTGGGATGAATAAGGCTCCTGCAAACATGACATATAAGATAACAGCACGTGTAAAAGTACTATCTGGGACTAAGTCCGTTGACATTCCATTTGTACTGTGAGGAATGAGAAATTTTTTTTTTTAGGAAAAAAAAAAAATTGTCAAAATTTACATATTTAAGTAGCTTACCTGCTGACTATAAAAGAAAATAGAAAATAAAATTAGGTTAAAACCAAAAAAAATTTTTTTTTTTTTTAAGATACAAATTTTGAACTTGTGAATTACGTACGAACGGTAAAGTAAAACGCGTCACTAAAAGAAATACTTTCTATATCAGGATGGTCAGGATCTTGCTTGTCAGATTGCTTAAAGGTAACCAAGTGAATTAAAGCAGTAAGCGTGAGAAAAGTAAACAAAATTGTTGTAACTATTTAAGTTCACGGTAAAAAAAAAAAAAATGAGTATGACGTAGTGCATTAAAAAAAAGTTCACAATGGTAAAATTTACCAAGTCTCAATCCTTTCCTCATAATCTTTGAGCATTGAAAAAGTGAGCTCTTTACAGGCGCGAAAACCATTTGCACTGCCCAATGGAGTCTTATAAAACGAACAGGATATATATAAATCTTGAAAGCAAAGTTAAAGAAAGCTTCAGTTTGCTCAAGTTTCATTTTTAATTCCTAAACACGTAAGGAATATGGTGGCGCAGAGACATGCATACCAAATTTCCGGCACCCATATATGTATTATCCATGACATCATCAAAGATAGTTAAGAAAAATGCCGCAATGACCGGGGATACCGAAAACCATGTTAAAATTGAAAAGGAGTTTGCAAAAATAAAAGTTAAAGGCTCTTTGTCTAACCAAACACGTGGAACGTATTGGACAAATATGATGGTAGCGAGAACAAAATCAGCTGTCTGAAGAAAGTAGGGAAACGCCTCTTCGCTATCATCAACCTTGACATATCGTGTATTCTAAATTATAAATAATAAAAAAATTAATAAATATTGCTGCGCCACAAAAGTTAATTGGTGATACTAACCCAGATATACAAGAGAACAAACATCGCGGACAATATGGAATCGAAAAGTTCCCAAATCCTTCCAATTCTCGAAGTGTCACATAGAAACGCTATCCTTTTTCTCATGCTAGCCTTTTTACCAGACCTTGATATGAATTCCTTTTGATTTTTCACCCAAACTTCATCATGTTCGGTAACAACCGCCGAACCAGAAGGTATGGACGAATAATTTTGATGACCTATTCGTTTTTTTAAACTCTTATCATTATCAGTAAATGAATAACTCTTTGGTCTCCGGAATATTTTCCTTTGTTGCCTATCAGAAGGATTAACATTTGATCCATCATAGACATTTGATGAACTTGTCGAGCCAACTTGATCATCTCGCTCATCTCGTAATAATGGTACATTTTCATTATCGTTATTCATATTTTTAGTTTTTTAACGGTCGAAAAAAAAAAAAAAAAAAAAAAAAAAAAAAAGGAAAAATTTAAAGAAAGCGATTTATTCACTAATTGTGGGTCATATGAGTTGGTTGGCTAATTTTGTGTTCTGATGAGATGGCTAAATTTCCCCACAAAAATTTAACGACATCATACGTGTTACAATCTAATTTATTTTTGGTAATTTACTGCGTCTTAGATTCACATGTGATCTATGAACCGTTTTTTTCGATAATTTCGTAAGGAGAGCGTGACAGACATTGTTCTCACCCGCGCCGAAAACTGCAATTTGTACTTGATCAATATGCCAATAAAGTATTTGTAGCACATCATGTACTAATCTAGCAATTATAATGGGATATGCCTTTGGGACGGATTCTGACTTGAATTTTGTTGTGAAATTGAAATCGCTCCGTGTTTGTGAAGCGAACGAGCAATTTCCAGCAAATATGAAGTTGACAATCAAACGTAATAAACAAATTGACTGGAAGAATCGGGACGTCGTAGTTCTTAATGGTAAATCTGCTAAATTTGCAAATATATTCTTTGTTATAGAAACTGATGATACCAGTTTCTTCACAATAGACTAAGCAAATGGGACTACGTTTTAAAAACGATGACCGAGGATGAAGAAGTCAAGAATAATCTGATCTGATCTTCATGACAATAATTTTCACTAACAAAAATCAAGTGTTCTAATTATTTCAAAAGACGGTTTTGAAAAAAAATTTGGCCCTGTTTATCATCACGAGCCATGTTTACTTTTACCAAAAATATTACCAATTTCTGGGGAAAAAGAGTTTTATCGTTAAATCTCAGATGCTAAAAAACAAATTTAGATTTTTTCCCGTACGATGTACCGGGAACTGAACCATATGTACTTTAAAATGTGGTTGTGAATTTGGAATATTAGACATGGTTCGAAACATTTTAAAATAGTTATAGGAATTTTTGCTTTTGCTTTTTTTTTCTCTACACAGTTTCACAACTATGTATCATTGTTTAAGGACAGAAATAAAACTAATAAATAAAAAAGATAAATTTTATCGCTATAATATTCATTTATTAATAATTTTTGGTTTTAACTAATACACTGTAAAGAACTAAAGTATATTGGAATAGTGGTCCTAAGGAAATGAAAGTTGCTTCCCACTACTCCATACTAATTTTTTCCAATATTTATGCGTGCCAGAAATGGGCAACTAATTGCGTTACATAATGTCGCTATTTTCTACGTCCACCCTTATCCTAACTAACTTATAAACGAACTAATGGCACTAAGGGATGCAATTCTCCTTTATATTTCTGACAGTTATTAAAACTGGTTCCTCTATCATATATGTGTGCTCACGTACTCTTTGTGTTAGCGACAAATTTACGCCTGTTATTTCTAGCCATTATCAATTAGTAATATGAATAAAAATCTGTTATCTTTTATTAAAATGGCACGTCAGTTAGATTGCCATCGCTTTGGACTGGAATAGAATAAATCTAATTATTGATAATACTGGGGGAGGCTTGTAAATCTGATGTAATGCTTGTTTGTTTAGCCAATCTTTGACTTCCACTCATGTATTATTTCAGCAATTAAATAATAACATTCAGGCCTATAATACAGCTGAACCCTGATATATTTTTTAAATGAAATGATATTTTGTTAATTCGAGATTTATATGATCTTTTGTATTAAGCCTGCTTGGTCCTTCTGAGCAGCGTGAAAAAAAAACCTTGAAAAATTTCGGAAAAAATCCGGTAAAAGATAAAAATTCCGGTATTTATTTTTTTTA